GATCTTTTATTCAACAATGTTGCTAAACTCTCTTCTTTGTTCTACTATTTTATTAGATTTGCCTGAATTTTCTCAGAAGACAATTATATCATCTACAAATCACTTTTTTCTTCTTTTCCACACCTTATATCTTCCAATTTCTGTGTGTGTGTGCGCGTGTGTTATTATCTTGGCAAGGTGCTTTATTACAATGTGGAATAGAAATGGTAAAGTGATCCTCGTTTTCTTTCTTACTTTAAAAGGAAAATGTTTAATGAATTAACATTAAGAATAATGCCTCTAGAATTAGGTTGTTGGTAGCAACTCTATCATGTTCAGGAAATTCCTCCCTTTTCTAGTTTGTTGAGATTAAGAAAAATGAGTGGCAAATTTCTTTACATTTTCTAATATGAAGCCATTCTTACATTATGGTATCAGCCTGATGTGCTTGTGATGTATTTTTTAAAAACACATTGCTGAACTTGGTTTGATTATATGTAAGAATAAAATTTTTTATTCCTTTTGAGATTGGTCTAGAATTTTCCTTTCTATTTTGTTTTTGTTTTGTTTTTTTTGCGGTACGTGGGCCTCTCACTGTTGTGGCCTCTCCCGTTGCGGAGCACAGGCTCCGGACGCGCAGGCTCAGCGGCCATGGCTCACGGGCCTAGCTGCTCCGCGGCACGTGGGATCTTCCCGGACCGGGGCACAAACCCGTGTCCCCTGCATCGGCAGGCGGACTCCCAACCACTGCGCCCCCAGGGAAGCCCTTCCTTTCTATTTTAATGTCTGATCTTGGCATCAAGATTTTATTAGCTCATAAAATAATTGGGGTGCTTTCCTTCTTTTTCTCTGAAATCATTTGAATAGAGATTACCTATGAAGATTTGGTAAATCTTTGCCACCAAATATTTGACCCTTTTTGTAGGTAGATTTAGAAATATGAATTTAATTTATTCAATAGTTACAAATATATTCATGTTTTTAATTTGTTTGACTCAATAAAGTTTTGTAATTTGCATCTTATTAAAAAGTATCTATTTCAGCTAAGTTTTAAAAATGTTCACAACATTCTGTTAGTATTAGAAAAAAAGTCTCGAAACTATAGTTATAGTTTCATTCACAGTCTTGTTTCTTTTCTCTCTTTCCTCACTATCAGTCTTACTAGAAATTTACCAATTTTATTATTGTTTTAAGAACTTTTTGTTTTGTGACCCTTTCTATGAGTTTTTGGATATTTAGGTCTATTTTTAGCTCTAAAATTATACATGTAACACACATATATGGTTTTTTCTTCATTTTCTTCCCCCCTCCCCTTCTGTTTTAGATCAAAGGCTTTTTATTTGGGTGAGGGAAACTACAGGAAAAGGATTTGCTCACCCTTGATCTACTTCAGACACTACCCAGATTATTCATGCAGAAATAGGTGATAAGAAAAAGGTGAGCAAACAGTGCATTTAGGGCTTTCATTTCATTGTAGTCTGGTCCTCATACAGGGCTGCTGCACACACAATCCCGTCTTCTACTCTCTGTTCCTAGAGTCTCTTTATGCCACTTCTACCCTGAAGAGTGTTATTTTATTTTATGCTATTTTAGTTTTACTACATTGGGCTGACCTCACCCACCTCTGCCGCTGGCCTTTTAAAATAGACACGTTTCCTAAGGAGAATGATTTCTTTCCAGTCAAGGGGAAAAACAGCAGCGAGGCATAAATACCCCCATTTTAACAAGGAAGAAACCTCTGCCTGAGAGGCACCTGAAAAATTTTCCCAAGCAGGCTGAATTCTCTCAGGGTATTGTTTCACCGGAATACATTCTCTGCATCAGTCTCTACATTAACAGACTGGAGGGAAAGTTTCCAACAGATCTTTTTGCTGATAGGTTTGATTACTCTCTAGTAGAAAATTTCAAAGGCTTTTTGCCAGACGGAAGGGAATGTGGGAAGGCAGAGGGAACTGGCATGACCAGCAAACCCTTCTGAACAAATAACAGAGCCAAAAGTAGTGACAGCCAATGTTTCAATCCTAAATGCTCTGCAGATTATAGTCCTTGGACCACTAGATAACAGCAATAATCTGACAAAGTCTACAGTTATCAAGATATTAATGTAAACTGTACTTGAAATACTCCTCATTCAAATTCTCTTCATTTTGCTGAAAATATTTTTTCTCACGTTTGACAGCACCAGCTATCTTTGGGCCTCTGGCTCTGGTGAAGTCATTTGAAGAAACAGATCTAGAGAAACATTGCTTGGCAGAGGATAAGAGAGAAAGGTTAGGACAGAAAGCATTAAGATGACTATCCAAGAAATGGAATCAGTTTGATTGGCAGGAGGGCCACAGACAGATAAAAACATTAAAGAAAGTATATCAAGGTATCTTTCTGCATCTCTATTGAAATAACATCACCTACTGTTGGGTTTGAAGAAGCCTGCTCAAATATATTATCTTACTTTGTTAAAGGCAACCTGGAACCTGATAAAATAGACTTTATTAGTATTATTATCCCATTTTACAGATGAGAAAACTGGCTCGTTTGGAACACAATACTAGTTTTGATGGATTAATCTCTGTGCTGAACTGGATTCTGTATTGGATTTCATTTTCTCTCTCCTTTTACACTGGGCATACAACCTACAGTTGATTTTAAAGTTATTAAACAAAAACTGGGTGAAGAGCAGTCTCATTCAGACAGGTCCGCATGTGTCAGGGAGACAGGTCTGTCCAGGCTGACCTTGTACTTTGCTCTCCAGTTCATTCTAGGCCATCGTAGGACAAATAAAGAGGAAAGAAAGTTTTTTTAAAGCCAATAACTTGGAACTCTTGAATACACGTCTTGCGTGGACAGAACTCCTCATTTGATGTTAGAAAGGATCACAGAGTAGTTAAGGCAGTTACTATATAGTCAAAGCAGAAGCCACCATATTCCTTAATATGGTAAGAGGTAAAATCAATATCCTGGGAAAAGATTCAAGCTGAGTGGTAGGCAAGAAACTCATTTGCACTTTATCTTTGATTTATGAGGAAGGGTGAAAGATTGAAATAATTAATTTGTAAATTAATTATTTGATACTATTTATTGCTATAGTTAATATAATAATTTAATTATTTTAAATAAAATTTTAAAAGATTCTTTTTACTAGATGTAGAAGTTTTGGTATTGAGAAACCCGACAGTAAATACAAAGAGCGTGTAGTAGAAAGAAGACAGGAAAATGAGCTAAGTGATTTTTCTGAGGTGGGTAGAGCTATGGTGCAAAACAAAAGTCCCTTTCAGTATAGTCTTTCTTTTCTTACCAATATGTGCTTTTTATTATATTTAGATTATATAGTGGACATTTTCCTATTTGTCCTGGTATCTTTCCTTAGAGTTTAAGATCAGCTCTCATTATTTTTGCGATAAGAGTTTTTATATGCATTTCTGCATGCTGTAAATGAACATATTAGCACCGTGCATGTATTAAAATTTCTATTTTTTCACATTTTAATGGATTATTATAAAAGAAATGATAAATTGGTAGGAAAGGAGAGGACGCAGAGTTCTTTAAGGCTGATTTTTTAACAAAGGGGATTTGCTACATTGTTTGAAAAAGGAAACAGCTTGAGAGTAATGGATGAGCAGTCAGGGTTTAGCTTTGAGCGCCCTTTGAAAACCGCAAGACGAACTCAATCAAGGTTCGAAGCAGTCACTTGCGGGCGACGGTCACGTTCTCTTCCAGGCAGACCTCACTGTAAGCTTGAGACGTTTCCATCCCCACCAAGAATTCTTCCCCTCCCCGCCCTGTGCGGCTTCCGGTGACCTCCCATTTCTGCGAAGCCCAAGGTTACCGAGTGACTGCCACCAACGCAGCCCTCCCTCCTGGTTCTGCGTTTCTTTCTTATATGTACTTGTATCAGTCCTGCCAAGTTCCCTGACATACTGCTGTCGTAGACCCCACGTGCCGTTTAGAGTTTGCCCAGTTTTTACTCGTAAGCTGCTACTTTTGTTGTGTCGCGGCTTTAGCAGTGGAGCTAGAGGCAGAGAATTGCCAACACTCCAGGAAGCCAAGGGTGGGAGGTGGGTAGGGGGTGGCGCGGCTGGAGAGCCCCCGGTGGACCGGGTGTTGTTCCAGAACCTGGGCGAATCTCTGTGCCCGCCACTTTCCCGAGAACCATCCCCAGGCCTTAGTCCTGCGCCGCTCCCAACCACACCTCCAGGTGTGTATTCCCCGCCCTTAATTACTCTTCTAAAATTGATAGTTTGCACTTGCAAAGTTACACTGGGAAAGCGGAAGAGAAATTTATAATCATGGATATGGAGAACTAGGGGAGCACAGTCACACTTGCTTTGGTCTGCAGACCCAGGCAATCGAAAACTCAGAAATGGAAACGTGTGCACCTTTCCGGCAGCAAAATTGACTCTGCGTTCTTTGCAGCCTCGACTTGAAGGCTGCACTGGGAGAAACTCTGTGCCTCCGGGAAAGTTTGGAAACGGAACTACGAGAGAGGCCAGACATCGGAGATTTTGCGGGCCCTGCGATGTCTTCCAGAGCTTTTCAAGTGGGGAGAGAAGAGCGACGAAATGAAAATGCAACGTGTAGGAGAGGCCGCCCGAGTCCCGCAAGTTGCCGGTCGCAGAGGTGAGCACGGGAGCGGGTGGGGATGGAGATCCGGAGCTGGAGGCCGTGGGTCTCCAGACGCGGGTGGGTCCCCAGACGCGGGTGGGTCCGATCCGGGTGGGGGGCGGTGGGAAGATGATGAATGGGAGGCTTGGGCTACCCTCCGCCCCCGCCCCTGCAGGCGGGGCGGGGAGTCCGGCAACTGGATGGGGGAGGAGGAGCACAGAGGGTAGGGGCTCTGGGGGCGTCGCGCCAGGTAAGGGAATGAGCCAGGGGGAGGGAGTCGGGGGTGTGGGAGTTGCTGACTTGTGCTACGTGGAGCCTGCAGAAAAGAAAGAAGGCGGAGGAAGAAGGGGGCAGGCGTCCGCCCTGCTCCCGCGGCCCTCCCTCGGCGCCCCCCTCCCCCGCCGCCCTGCCAGCGCGCCAAAGCCGGAGCAGTCGGGGCCGAGCGGCGGCTGACGCTCCCGGAGCCGCGACGCCCCTGTCCCCCAGCGGAGCCTGCCGGGATCTCGGGCGGCCTGGGCCCCGGCGCCGCCGAGCCCTCCCCGGCCTCCCGGCCGCGCGCGCGGGTCCCCGGCGGGGTGGGCGCAGGGGGCGGCCCCGCTCCGGGCGACGGCCGAGGGGCGGGCGGAGGGCCGGGCTCGGCGGGCCGCGGGGCGGGGGCTGCGGGGATTGACCGCGCAGCCTGAAGCCAGCCCGGGGGCGGCGGGAGCCGGACGCGCGGCGGCGACGGGCGCAGGTAAAGGGACTGGCGCGGCGCGGGGTGGCGCGAGGGGACGGTGCCTTCTGAGCGCGGAGCCAGCTTTCGCCGGGTCCCTTCCGCCGCCAAACGGCGCGCTGGGATCGCGCTGTCCTGCGGCAGACGGGCTTTGTGGCTGTGTGTGTGTGTGTGTCTGTGTGTGTGTACGCGCGCGCCTGTGCCGGGTGTGGGTGGGTGTGCATGCTCGCGGGCCGACCTGCAGGAGGCGAGGCGCTCTTGGCCTCCCCAGCCAACCAGTTGATCGAGCCCCGGGAGGGAAGTGGCCGCAGCCGCCCGGGCCGCCACCCCTCCCGTCTCCCAACGGGGTCAGCGCTCCCCGGGGCCCACGCTGTGCCCCGTGCCAGCGGCCGGGACCCGCCCAAGTGACACGTAGGTGGTCTCCGGTTACCTGGGTCTGGGTGGGGGCCCGAGCTGGCAGGCGGGAGGCGCTCAACATTACCCCCAAGCCGCGTCCCGGTGGACGTGGACCGCCGGGGGTCCCCGCGACCCGCAGCGCCGAGCTTCCCCACCACTTGCTTCTCACCGGCCACGCAGCGGTCTCTCCCCGCCTGAGGACTTTAAACTTAAGTTTCTGTCCGGACGTCTAACAGACACGTTTATCAAGTAACTGGGGACTCTAAAGCAAGGGAGGGACCTGGCTTTGAGTTGGTGGTTTTGAAATAGACGGGCTCGTTGTGTGTGTGTGCGCGCGCGCGTGTGCGCAGGACTAGTTTGTTGTGAATGGATTTATCATTTATTCTTGTTTTTCTTTGCTGCCATTTGGACTTTGATGTGTAAGAATGACGGTATCCAGGACTTGGTGCTGCCTTCAGTCCGGGGCCTGAGATTGCTGCTTTCTGCTGCTACTTCTCTTTTTTTTGTTGTTGAAATCTATGGAGGTTTCCTAAATGTGGGTTTCCAGTGAGCGCTGGCTTGTTAAAGTTTCTCTATGAACGCGTTGTTTCCCATTGGAATAGATACATATTTACAAACATGAATCTTGAAAACAGGTGATTGCAGTTATGAGAGCAAAATCCTCTATTCCTTCGGGCTTTAACAGTCCGTGATTTTCACCTATTTGCATTAAGTGTCGTTTGCCCAGCCTAAACATAACTGTGAAGCAGGAGGTCTGTTATTCAAAGCTTGCAATTCGGGTTAGAGGGAGACCGTGCTGGTTTAAAACTAAGTTCTTTTTCCTAAGAAACTATTTCCTTGTCAAAGAAGAGTAGTAAGCCCCAAGGAAAAAGGGTGTGTACTGAAATTTGGACCGAATTAAATTGCATTAACACACACATGCATAATGTCATCCATTTGTTTCCGCCCTTGATTCTCCAATTCTGGGGAGGCCGGAGCATATTTGCCCCAAAAGCAAAATTGTGAATAACGATCAGCATTATTAAGGCTGCATTTTTCTTGATACCATTTAATTTGAGGATAAAGAAGCCAAGTAGCCAGAGAAAGAGGTAGTGTGTGGCGGGAAGGCCGGGCTGAGGGGCCAGGCAGGAGGACTGGGTTATCATAATCTGATCCCACAGACACACCACGTCCCCTAGTGGTGCGACTTTAGCCGGTTAGGTCAGCTGGTCCTCCTTCTTGGTGTACTCATCTGGAAAATGGAGGGGTTTGATCATCTCTGCTGTTCCTTCCAGCTCCCCCCACAACACTACAAACTGGAGGGTGGTTATCCCATGTTAGAACAGTAGGGAGAGAGTAGAGGGAAGTGTCAACTGTTAGTCTGGGAGGTAAGGGGGAGGGCAGGAAGGCCAAGAGGGTTGAGGAAAAGCAGCAGTGGGAGATGCCTGGAGGGGGAAGAACCTGGAGCTGGGAGTGGGTTCTCCTCTGTTTTTTCTTTCCTCCTGCACAAGGACATCAATAATACCACCCTACCCCACCCCAGTCAGTCTTCCACTACCCGTATTGTTTAAAGTGGGTGAGCTACTTAACGTTAAAATTGACTTGGAGTCTGTAGTCTGACCTGGCCAACTTCCCATTTGCATCGTTGTCTCTCAAGAGATGAGCTGCAGCTCAGTGCTGAGCGCACTCAGTGGATCTCAGAAATCTCTGCGAGTGATGGGAAAAGTTACCAGACGTGGGAATGTAAGTGGCAGCCCTTTCAACACCTGAGTTTGAAACGTCTGTTTTTATTTGAAGCTAATCTTTTCTGAAAAGTAATTTGATTTAAAAGAAGATTCTACCACAGACTTCTCAAGGTTTTACTGAATCTGTTCTGACTGTTAGACCTACTGGAAAATTCAAAGCAAGTAAAACTCTCACTTGCTAAGTCTTTTTGATACATAGTGACAGTCAGTCTGAGGTTCATGATTTTTAGGCAGGAGAATCTTATTTCAAATGCTTAGTAAGGAAAGTTGCAACCTGAGTGGAATAGACTGTATCATTTTCACTGGGACGCTCAAAGGGTCCAAATAACAAGACCTGAGATTTAGTTTGAGGTCACGATTTTAATATCTGTGCTTGATGTGTGGCCTGTCTCCCTTTTCTTTAATTTTTTTTTTTTTGGTACCTATATGCATACACACTTGAGGAACATGGTGTATTTTAAAAGTGAAGTGTGATGTAATAAAACTTGGTTTAAAATTTGAAAGCTTGCTCTGGCCTTGCTAACTCAGCATCTTATTTGGTTTCTAATGTTTACATACCACGCTATGTTCCAAATCCCTGCAGTGTTATTTAGCTGTCTCATGGAGAGCTATCATGGATGCCTTAGAAAGTTGGGAGAAAAGGAGGAAATTTTAATCGGATAAGCAGTTACTGCATTCCTTCGACGGTGGCAGATACAAGGATGAGAGAAAGGAGGCTCTAGAAAGAGCTGCAGTACAGAGGGAAAAGATGCAGCTAACTTCAATATATAGCAGCTGGGTTGCATAACTAGGCGGCAGCTGTAGAATCTAAGAAACTTGGCATGCCAGGCAATGGAAAATTAAATTCTGTCTCTGGGGCAGACTTCACAAAAGGGACTTGAAGGATGAAAATGATGTGTCTCTTAAAAGATGAATGGTGGGGAGTGAACTATGTAGTTGGAGTCTGGAGTAATGGAGGCTGGAAAGATACAAGGCGATAAATTGTGGGGACCTTGGCTGTTATTTTAAGGAATTGTACTACCTAGGGACAGGGAGGGGGAAGTACAGTTTAACCCCACAACGCAGGAAGGCACTGAGTCACAAGTACTGGGCATAGAGAGGACTGAAATGATTGAGAGGTGCCTGGGCCCTGATTCCATCACATACCCTCGTAACTCATGCCGAGTGAGTTTCAGGGCGCTGCTGCCAGCTTATCCAGATTATAGAAAGGTTACAGAATAAAGAATATGCAGTTTCTTCGCCCGTATTGCCCCCAAATTGATAGTGGCCTTTTGAGAAATATAATTTAGTGAAAATTAATGATGTTATTGTGTTACATCTGGACCTTGCGAGGCCCTTGAAGCATGTGGGTTAAAATTGCTCCCCAGGCTCAGAGCTGACCAAGAAAGCATTGTTTTGTTTTTGTTTAGGGAAGGGCCTGCTAGTTAATGCTAATTGAAACGTGACTCTCATGGCAACCGACATTCTTGACTGTGTGTATGTTATACATAGTATTTCACAGCGGTTGAATATTTGCAGCACAGAAGAGAATTATTATTAGTTCAGAAATGGGGTTAACGCCCTTGTAAAAGGTAAGGGGGTGATGTTGGGGAGAAGGGAGAAGCACCCTTGGTGTTGCAGTGAGGGCTGACACACCACGAAGATCCTTTATTAAGTTTAACCTCCAATAGAAGTAGCTCGCCCAGTGCCGGAGACGAATACTTCTCTGGGAACCTCCTTTCTGGTCATCTGCCTCTTTTGTTGTTGTTGTTGTTCTTTCCCGTAACTGTCCAGAGAGAAGGTGTATAGCTCATTATCTCTCAGACAGGAAGAATCTCTGTGGACTCCATTTGGGAGAGACTTCCAGCAACTCTGGAGGTTTCCTCTCACACCGCGATACCTCTGTGTCAAAGGTGGGAGTGGGTGGCCTTTCAGCTGCATGTCAGAGGTGCAGCTGATTTGAGTAAGTCTTCTAATTGCCTTAGAATCTGGAGGTGCTGGGCTAATAAGGAGACAGATGATGAAAGGAGATTAGGTCAGCTGCTTTTTACTGTCTTCTGAATACAATTTGAATGATCCTCCCAGCAGTTTGTTTTATCTTCTGCAAGGGAACTTGGGTTTGGCACGTTTAATCAATTAATTAAATTAGTTAAGTTGAAGTAACTCAAAGTTTTTTGGTTTTTTTAGGAGGGGGGGAGGGAGAGTGCTGGTTTTGGTGATTTTATTTAAATTCCCTGGCTTTTTTTTTCTAGCAGGTTGGTATGATTTCAGAGTAATGTTGTTGTTACTATTATTGACCTGGGGGTGTGGGGCAAAGAAAATTGTCTCAATCCTTGGACGTTGGCTCCTGTCATCTGATCAGTACTGTAGAAACTTCAACTTTGAAGCTCATGTAACATTCAAATTTCTTTCAGAAATGAGAGGACTGTTTTACTACATGTGTGGATTTAGGCTATAATTTATTTGATTTCTGTGGTACTGTTTTTAAAAAAAGTGGTGTAAGGACAGGGCAGACTCTTAACTTTAGTCCAGTGCTAAAACAAATAACGTGTAAGCCTGAATGAGGTAGATCAGGTTGTGTTTGTTTTATTTAATATGGAGATAAAGGAAAGGGATTTCAGAACCAGCCTCTTTCTCTGAAAGAGAGAAAGTTGGACTAATAAAACCTGGTTATGGATCTCTTTGGGGTGGGATTTCCAAGGTTGAAACTGTTGTTAAAGGAGCTCTTGTTCATTATGGCCATGGTGTGTGCCTTGGCTTCTTAAGGTTTAGGATTCACTGTACAGAGAGGGCTACTGTGAACCATTCCTTTTTAGCAAGTTTTCTTTTTTCCCATTTTCTTAAATCTCAGAACAATAGACTGGATTCGATTTCATGTAAGTCTGCTATACTCAACTTTCTTCCTCTATGTTTAAGCGGTTC